ATACATTAGCTTTATTTTACTATTGCATGGTTTTGACAGATGGGCCCAGATAGCTAAGCATTTGCCAGGAAAACAGACAATGAAGTGAAGAATTACTGGAATTCATGCATTAAAAGAAGTTGATCTCACAAGGTTGGACCCAGGACTCACAATTTATCCTTCTCATCAAAGGCTTCTAAAAGCTTTCACGCAACATCTCACAAACCTCCTTTGATCCATCCATTCCCGTTTCACAGTCAATAATGGACAAATGACGCCAATTAATAAATGTGCAGATGGAATTCGACCTCCAATTCTAACGTTACCTTCCCTTCACCTCCTCTTCAAAATGCTCCATTGCTTCAACCAGTAATGGCGCCCTCAACAACCCCACCAACCCTCAATATCAAATTCAAAACCCTAATGTTTGGACTGAAATTGTGGTCAAAATTCTCATGACTCCTCACTAATACTACTACTTTCCCTAGTGTCTCCTCCATTGAGAGCCGACCCATTCTTCTTCCACAACTTCGTCAGTGAACCCATCAGGATTTGGTCCTAGTGAGAGTTATTATTCTATCTGGGGTAACAATACAATGGTTGAACCCATAAGTCCAAGCGTCGTAAGGACTGCAACTTCAAGAACAGAACAGAACTTCAAGAGAAGGAGAAGATGACCGATAATATATGAAGCAAACAACACTGTTCATAGGACATAGATTTGTTCATTGACAGCTTCTAGTTTTGACCTTGAATTTGTGGAATCGACATTCATGTCTGGTGCAATGTGTCGTGATCTAAGCTCAATCTCCTTGATGAGTTTGCATGGAACTTTTAATTATACGTTAATTTGATTACAATTAATTAGTATCTTTAATTAATTGCTCATCAGGTTGTAATTTTTAATTTTCTATCTCTTTTTTTGTTGTCTTTTTGCTGGGTGGTCTAATTTATAAGGTTGTACAAATTACTTATTTACATGGAAAACTTTTGTTGCTAACAAGATGATGATTTGAAAACGAGAGATCCCAAAAGTTTTAGAAAGCTAATAAAATTATGAAATTGGTGATTTCGTTGTGTCGGGATAAATTGAGATGTAATCAAGAACGACTCCCATTCATACGTATAACTAAATGAATTGACCAAATTCATTATTTAATAAATAAATATTCTCATATATAACCCAATCTTAATTTCCAAAATGTCAAGGTTTTGTTTAAAGGACAGATGAAACCATCAAATCACGTGATTTAACTTATCCTTACTAAAAATAATAAGAACAAAAATAATCAAAATGCTTTACATTACCAAATCTATCACTATCTAACATGCTTTAATTAGAATCTTCAACCATAGAGTTAAAAACTAGGGGTCTGTTTGGTACAACATTTTCCCTATCCTATTCTACCATTCTATTCAAAGGAAATGAAATAATTGTTTTTCTATTCAACTCAAAATCCAATCATATTCTATCCAATTCAAAATATTTAACAATTACATTTCTCAATAAAAATTTTAAAATTAACAAAAACACCCTCACGTACCCAATCCACTCTCACCCATCAACAGTCAGATCTTTGGTCGTGATCTAACAGTTTATGGCCAGATCAACCCACGATTGGCCAGATCAACCCACGATTGGCCAGATCTAGCCAGTCGTGTGCCATTCTGGCGACTTCTGACCACCGTTCGACGATGGTGCCCAGCGGCCAACAATAGTTGATTGGGGTGTTTTTATTAATTTATGAACTTTTATTATGAGGGGTGTTTAGTTAGGTTAATAAATATAAAGGGTTAAAAAGGAATCTAAATATTTTTAGAAAATATTTTCTAAAACACATTCTTAGAATCATATTCTATTTCATTAAATAATATTCTAAAGGAGAATGTTATTCTAAAAAGCCTGCCAAACGGAGCCCTAGACTCTAAAGTCTAGTATATCTAATGTTATATATCAGGAGTGTATCATTTGCCGTTTAATTAAGTGTATAATTGATAAGTCAGTAGATTTTACAGCTAGATTTATCATTTAAATAAAATAAATACAAATAATTAAGACTCAAGTAGTTTACATATTCAAATGTATATACGTCAATTGATTATCAAATATCCTAATATAATAAGAAAGAGATGAGAGAGTCAAATATATATTGACCCATTTGATACGGTTAAAATAAAGATGCAGTCTAATTTAAGCACTCTTTTGAGTAAATGAGTTGAATATTGACATATATTATACGCTAACACGAAGACCAGGTTTAAGACGAAGACAACATTAAGTCTATTTATTCAATTAAGCAGACATATTTTTAACATATATATAACAAGTGTGTTACTCTCAAAATAAGTCGTACTTTTATATTATAAATAAGTTAATGTCTCTAATTTAATTTAATGAATTGTTTTTCCATGATAGTTACGATAGAACAAGAGAAAATAACAACAGGAAAGAATGAAGGAGATACAGTCAAATATTTAATTGACGCATGTAATACGGTTAATACAAAGACATAATCTAGTCGAGCTGAGCCGGCTCGCGTTTACAGCCCTATAATAGGCGAGTCTGGACTTTCACAATAAATTGATAGATAAACAAAATTATTAAAAAAATAATAATGAAAGTACACTTAACGATACAAACCGATAATTTTAACTAAAATTTTTTAAATGACTGAAATATCTATGTGTAAATAATTTTATTGTTTTAAAAATAAATTACTGAAATTTTAAAAAATAAAATATATAATTATACAAATTAAAAAATAAACTTAAAAAATCCTTCATTTTCTTTTTCTTTTCTATTTTTTACTAATATATCCTGATTTATTTTTATTTTGATGTGTCATTTTCTTGTTGATTACTTTCTCAAATTATTGTAATTGAAAAAAATACTTAATTTATATGAAACTTTATTACACATAAAATTACATTAATACCCTTTTATAAAATTCAAGTTAACGATTTTAAACCATTTAGTATCCTACAACTGTAAACTTATGATGAAGGCGTCATCTAATTATTTTAACACCTAAAACTGAATGGCACTAGAAATTTTGTTATTTTCGAAACTTCAAGACTATATATATATATTCTTCATTTCTAATAACATGTAAATAAGACAACATGGATAATTTACACTTTTTATTTAAAACTTTGACCTAACTAGATTAAAGTGATCATATCCTATAATATTGAAGGTAAATAATATACTACGAACCTTAGGAATGAAATCGTAAATGGAAAATATAAGGTGTCTAATACAACTCAAATAATTGATAAATAATTTAACAAATTTTATTTAACAATAATGTTTTACTTAAAATTGAGTCATATTGGATAAAAATTACACAAAATTCATGTAAAATTACACATTGATGATATTTTAATATTTTCCCCACCCATTAACAAATTTTATCTAATATGGGATTTAGAAAGAATTATAATAGGCCTAAAAACATTACTAAACAATTTAATGGCCCATCCATCCATCAATGATCCACCCCAAAGCTTAACGCAAACCACCCCCGAGCCCGCGAAACCCAATAGCCCGCAACGTTATGTTTGCAAAGTCCAACCTTAGTGTAACAAATTGCAAATCATTAATAATGTTATTAACTTAGAATATATTACTAAAAATAAATATAATATAGTTATTTCTTAATAATTTTTATTAATATAGCTAATTTCATAATTTTATTGTTTTAAATTTTTTTAATAAAATAAATATATTAAGTTTCACAAGTTAATTATTTAAAATTGTTTTAAACATGTAAAATATAATATGATATTTGAAGGATAACCATATTAAAATACCAATTTTAAGATATTTACAGTATAATTAAACAAACAACTCAACACCACTTAAGTAGGTTTTTTGTTTATATAGTTAAGTTTATTGTTACACATAATGAAAACATTGTTATCACTCATTAGTCATTTCCATAGCAATGCCCAAACTTTCCCATTGAGACATTTGCAAAGGGACATTGACTATGAGATGACTTGGCATTAGCCCAATAAAAAAAATTAACCAAACATTCAATTTCATAAACTTGATAACATAGATGACATAAATCTAAGGCGCCTAGCTAACAACAAGCAAAATTGTTTTTTTTTTATTGATAGAAAAGTGCATTCGTTGAAGGATATTGTTTTTTGGTACGTAAAAAGCTAAAAAGATTGCAAGATATTTTATTTACACATCAGATTTGTAAAGCAAATTCGAGAAAATTTTCAAAAGAACTATGCATGTCAACAATTGCCATGAATAACAAGAGCAAATTTGTAGGGGATTTAAATTTTGAATTCAAGTTAATAAAGCAAATTCAGGAAACATTTACAAAGTGACTATGACATTGAGATGAACTGGCATGAACCCAAAAGTAAATTAATCAATAGTCAATTTCATAAATCTTAAAAACATAGATAACTTAAATCTATGGTGTTAAGCTAGCAATGAGAATTTTTTTTTTTTTTTTTTGATAATTGTATTTAAAAAAATAAAAATAAAAATGCAAGGGGAAGGAGAAGGAGAAGGAGAGGGAACTCTCCTTTACGCTAATTCCTCAGACATGCCCAGGGAAAAGCTAACCAAAAGAGGCCACAGGACCAAAAATGTACAGTCCTCTGCAAGAGGCCCAACCAAAAAAAAAGCCTTAGCAAAAACAAAAATATTTATACAAGGTCTTATGGCCTAGCTATTTTGGATTATCTGATAGTCATGCCAGCCACAAACACTGTTTTTGACAGGTTCAGCCGCCGATTGAGTATCACTGCACTGGACCCAGTTGGACAAACATTAACATACAATGAAAGAGAGACGCACATATCTTAGTTGTGTTAGTTTTTCACATTATGTTACTATCCCATCACTTGGTAGCTAGGTGCTGGTGGAGCTTCAACTACGTACGAAATATATTTAGGAAATAAACTTGTGTAAATCATCTCCAAAACCATGAAACACTTTCCAAAGGTAATATTATCCCACTTTTCAACCAGTGGATCATTGTCAAATATTGACGGGGCTAAACTGTTTAATCAATAAGTTAAGAAAGAAAAAAAATATAGAAATGAAGTACAGCATTCAACAATTAAGAGTCAATCTACCAATTCATTTACAGTGCAGACACATGCAAGCAATGTACACTGATGTATGGACCTCTGTTAGACAACATATATACAGCTATCCACAAAGGTTAAACTCCTGAACGCACCCACCCTTGTCTGAAGTGCCATTCAAGAATTTCATGAGAAACATGACAATTACCTGTACAACAGGTTACATGATAAATGTTTGTTTACAGCAAATTCTGCATGCTATTACTAAACCTATAGGTCATTAGCAAGGCTCATCTCGGTAAAACTTGTGCATGACTACTGTTCATTGGCACTATAGAAATGAAGCAATTTTAGAGGCAACACCTTTTCCTGAAACCAAACAATTGAAAACAAAATCAACTTCAGCAAACTTTTAGTAATAGACCCCTTTGGTTCATATAAACAAAAGAATATTATAACATTTAAAAAGAAATAAGCTGTAACTAGAAATTTAGAAACCTGAAACGTTTCTTCAGATTGAGGAGGGAAATGAAATCCTGTTGAGCAGTTTGGCAACACTTCAGGATTTTTCATCCAAGCTCTATGTGCATCACTCACTTTAATCTTATATCTGAACATCTGAAATAATTAAAAGAAGGGGAAGGTAATTTAAAAAATAAAGTTTGCTTGACGTACAAGTACATGGCTCTATTTGTCTTCATAAAATAATTGTTCCATAAGCATAACAAGAAAATGAAAACCCATTACCTATAAGGATCCGGCAAACCTAACAACAGAATACAGATACAGTTTAACTTTTACTTCCAGTTCAAATCTAGAAAAATGAGAACGTTCTGCTTTAAGTATAGTATGTCATACAAAAATACATTATCTTCAAAACTGTTCTCCAACAAAAATTGTAACAATGTAGAAGGAAAAAAAGTATCTTTTTTGCTTTTCAGTATAGATTGTCTGACAAAATATAAATTTATCTTCAAACATGTTCTCCGACAAACATTTTAGCAATATAGAAGGAAAAAAACTACGCCATTGTAGCTCATATGGCAAAACAGAGAGCTCCATTTATGTTAAAATCTTGGCATAACATTACAACATTTGACTCATAGTATTTGTCATTCCAGAAAAAGAAAAGAAATGCAAACCACCAAAACAACATGAAAACTTAAAGAATAAAAAGAAAAAAATAATCGTTTCCATAAAATGCAAACCTGAGAGAGAGTGACAGTTACTTCCTCAAGCTTATCTCCTTCAATGTGCACACCAGTACCCTGGCACACTGGGCAGAGCACAGAACAAATTTGGTTTGTAGATATAAGTTCTCCATCCTTTCCCACTTCATTGTGCTTGGCTCCATTCTTTCTCCTAGACTTTCGTTTCCCTTTTGGACTGACTGACTGGTTCATCATTATTTCATACTCACAGAGAAGGATCCAGTGTACGAGGCAGGAAATGTGAAATACATGAAATATCTACGAAGTCAAAAGCCATAGCACGTTAACCAAAACAACAAAGTGTATTGTTAAATTATATAACCTCTTGCAGAACTAAAAACAGACATTACTAGCTAAATCCTACCTATAAACACTATGACATCATAGCCATAAAAAGAGAAGCAGGACCATGTTGCTTAGATATTCTTACCCCATTCATATTTCTACTGCTGCAAGCAAGTTTTCCAGTCTTCGTATTCATTAGTGCTGCTACATCTTTATCAAGAAGTATCTTTTGCTGACAGATATCACACATTCTTTCAGCAGCTATGCGCTGTTGTCGTCTCAACTCTCGCCTTATAGACTTGCTAGATATAAACCTTGTGTCCAGAAGCTGGTCATCGTATCGATCCAAAAGCAAACTTGAAGTAGCACTACTGGAGGCTGAAGCAAACTCCCCAGATGAATTGGATTGAATACTCAAAGATTCACTAACATCTTCTGGGTCAGAAAATGACTTCTTTCTTTTCCTCGCAGTAGTTGTCTCACTACTCTCAAGTTCTTCTGCATGACTAGAAGAGAGTAATAGTTTCACGTCATCAAAATACAGAGCAGATTCAGCCTTTTCAAGAAGACCCTTTCGACAGTAAGCGACGAGAAGCTTATTGAGTACCCTGAAATCATACATGGTGCACTGGGACTCCCACTCCTCAAAAATCTTCTCCGCCACCCTGAAAATCATTCCAATGTTTGTGTAGAGAGTAATTAGAAATTGAAATGCTGAATTTTTTCAACACTTGTTCCTTCATTAACCCATTGTTCCAGTACTGGTACCAGACTACTACTGAGCTTTTTGGGTCTGGAATAATCTGAAGCCGTTAGTAAATCAAGTCACGTGAAGAGGAAGGGTTTGGGGTTTTAGTGGAAAAGAGAGAAGGTAAAAGTAAAACCCCATATAGGTGTTTCGATTGCTTTGTTGCAATTGAGGCAGGAATTTGATTGAAAAATTAGACTTCATTTTGTTTGATTTGTGTCTCTCAAGAGACAATGAAGAGACTTTGGTTAAGATTACTACTTTGTTTTGTAGTTTAATTAGTTTAAACTCTTTTGTCATGGAAAACTTAACAAAAGTAAATTGAACAAAGTGTGGTTGGATATGGACATGGAAATGGAATAGTTAAGTTATGCACTCTATAAAATTTTTAATTTTAATATTCAAAATTGAATTTAGCCGTGGAATTATTCAGTTATCGATAGTAAAATAATTGATTATGGTTATAAGTATGAGAGAATTTAAGTTTTTTTTTCTTTCTTTAATGAGTTATTTAACAAACAGTTAAGAAAAAATTAAATTATCTCTAGAATTTGTATTATGAAAATGTTATTTAATTTATTTGACTTTTGAAGGTGAATGAAGTGATGGCATCAATGAAGTAAGTTCTAAGTTTTAATATCAAATTATTTGATATCTTTCTTACAAGGGTTCTTCGCCATGTGTCCATGTGAGCTTAGCTGATAAATCTTGATGGATTAATAATGATGAAGTTGAGAATCCTAAAAATCTTTATATATAGATACTGCTAGCTTTTAATTAACGAGCACTTGATTTTATAATGAGGAGAAATGTCTAAAGTAACATTATGCATAATTACCAACTGAATAACAAATAAAGAAAACGTTGGATACGAATACGAATTTTAATTCTTGTTTCACATAAGATTCAAAATTTTATGTATAAAATACCTTAAATGTAATTTCCAAGTAGAATACGAATTTTATAAAAATAAAAAATATAATTAAATTCACTCCACTCTTAATTAAATTGTCAAGACTCAAGAATACATATATATATATATATATATATATATATATACATACATACATACATACATACATGAATGAATATATAAGAAGAACATCACAACTATTACCATCATCACTCCATAATCGATAACTTAATAACATCACCAATAGCTTTCTCAACTTCTTAATTGCTACCACTGTTCAAACCATAGGCACAAATTGCATTTGCATGGCTTACTATTCCACATACTATAACAGCAACTCCAATTTTGAATCAGTTAATATCAGGGCTGGGTCCAGATGGAGGCACAGGCTGACCTTTAGGCAGCCTCGTTCCAAGGCTCATAAACCTTGTTTCCATTGAATACTCACCTCTGATTTTCGAAACCTCTGCTGACAATCGCCGACCCTCACACACTGAAACTCCCACCAAACAAATAATCAGTGCTAATAACACAAGCAAGTGCGTCAAGTTCTTACATTGAATAATGTACCCCATTTTCGAATTACCTGAATGAATCTGATTGTTTAAACGGTTTATATAGTGTGCATGAAAGGTGGGCCGGCTTGTCAACTGGGATTTTGCACAGGTAACTTCTTGTTGGATGAATTTGCCGGCAAGGTAAGTATCAATACCTATATATAATTAATTATACACAAACTCAATGGGCCGGCTGCTTATTTCTTTGACAATGGTTAAAACTGCAGTATTTCTATAACAGTTTACTCTTGAGGTGTCACATCTGATTAGGAGAGATTCCATTGACTTGAGTTTTGCTTAGCTCTGAGGTTAGTTTTCTGTCTCACTCTCGAGCCTTTTGATTCATGGTTTAAAAGCTAGACTCGAGCAGGGGCATGGGTTCCTTCTTATCAAGCAATAAAATATGGTATTGGATTGGATAAAAGGTTCAGTGGCCAGGTGTCGCGGCAGATCCACCATTGAGTTTGTATCCTAATTGGCAATGTAAATTCCTTTCTATTTAAAGTATAAATGTAATTGTGTTTATGTTAGCTATTTTGGATTATCTGATAGTCATGCCAGCCACAAACACTGTTTTTGACAGGTTCAGCCGCCGATTGAGTATCACTGCACTGGACCCAGTTGGACAAACATTAACATACAATGAAAGGGAGACGCACATATCCTAGTTGTGTTAGTTTTTCACATTATGTTACTATCCCATCACTTGGTAGCTAGGTGCTGGTGGAGCTTCAACTACGTACGAAATATATTTAGGAAATAAACTTGTGTAAATCATCTCCAAAACCATGAAACACTTTCCAAAGGTAATATTATCCCACTTTTCAACCAGTGGATCATTGTCAAATATTGACGGGGCTAAACTGTTTAATCAATAAGTTAAGAAAGAAAAAAAATATAGAAATGAAGTACAGCATTCAACAATTAAGAGTCAATCTACCAATTCATTTACAGTGCAGACACATGCAAGCAATGTACACTGATGTATGGACCTCTGTTAGACAACATATATACAGCTATCCACAAAGGTTAAACTCCTGAACGCACCCACCCTTGTCTGAAGTGCCATTCAAGAATTTCATGAGAAACATGACAATTACCTGTACAACAGGTTACATGATAAATGTTTGTTTACAGCAAATTCTGCATGCTATTACTAAACCTATAGGTCATTAGCAAGGCTCATCTCGGTAAAACTTGTGCATGACTACTGTTCATTGGCACTATAGAAATGAAGCAATTTTAGAGGCAACACCTTTTCCTGAAACCAAACAATTGAAAACAAAATCAACTTCAGCAAACTTTTAGTAATAGACCCCTTTGGTTCATATAAACAAAAGAATATTATAACATTTAAAAAGAAATAAGCTGTAACTAGAAATTTAGAAACCTGAAACGTTTCTTCAGATTGAGGAGGGAAATGAAATCCTGTTGAGCAGTTTGGCAACACTTCAGGATTTTTCATCCAAGCTCTATGTGCATCACTCACTTTAATCTTATATCTGAACATCTGAAATAATTAAAAGAAGGGGAAGGTAATTTAAAAAATAAAGTTTGCTTGACGTACAAGTACATGGCTCTATTTGTCTTCATAAAATAATTGTTCCATAAGCATAACAAGAAAATGAAAACCCATTACCTATAAGGATCCGGCAAACCTAACAACAGAATACAGATACAGTTTAACTTTTACTTCCAGTTCAAATCTAGAAAAATGAGAACGTTCTGCTTTAAGTATAGTATGTCATACAAAAATACATTATCTTCAAAACTGTTCTCCAACAAAAATTGTAACAATGTAGAAGGAAAAAAAGTATCTTTTTTGCTTTTCAGTATAGATTGTCTGACAAAATATAAATTTATCTTCAAACATGTTCTCCGACAAACATTTTAGCAATATAGAAGGAAAAAAACTACGCCATTGTAGCTCATATGGCAAAACAGAGAGCTCCATTTATGTTAAAATCTTGGCATAACATTACAACATTTGACTCATAGTATTTGTCATTCCAGAAAAAGAAAAGAAATGCAAACCACCAAAACAACATGAAAACTTAAAGAATAAAAAGAAAAAAATAATCGTTTCCATAAAATGCAAACCTGAGAGAGAGTGACAGTTACTTCCTCAAGCTTATCTCCTTCAATGTGCACACCAGTACCCTGGCACACTGGGCAGAGCACAGAACAAATTTGGTTTGTAGATATAAGTTCTCCATCCTTTCCCACTTCATTGTGCTTGGCTCCATTCTTTCTCCTAGACTTTCGTTTCCCTTTTGGACTGACTGACTGGTTCATCATTATTTCATACTCACAGAGAAGGATCCAGTGTACGAGGCAGGAAATGTGAAATACATGAAATATCTACGAAGTCAAAAGCCATAGCACGTTAACCAAAACAACAAAGTGTATTGTTAAATTATATAACCTCTTGCAGAACTAAAAACAGACATTACTAGCTAAATCCTACCTATAAACACTATGACATCATAGCCATAAAAAGAGAAGCAGGACCATGTTGCTTAGATATTCTTACCCCATTCATATTTCTACTGCTGCAAGCAAGTTTTCCAGTCTTCGTATTCATTAGTGCTGCTACATCTTTATCAAGAAGTATCTTTTGCTGACAGATATCACACATTCTTTCAGCAGCTATGCGCTGTTGTCGTCTCAACTCTCGCCTTATAGACTTGCTAGATATAAACCTTGTGTCCAGAAGCTGGTCATCGTATCGATCCAAAAGCAAACTTGAAGTAGCACTACTGGAGGCTGAAGCAAACTCCCCAGATGAATTGGATTGAATACTCAAAGATTCACTAACATCTTCTGGGTCAGAAAATGACTTCTTTCTTTTCCTCGCAGTAGTTGTCTCACTACTCTCAAGTTCTTCTGCATGACTAGAAGAGAGTAATAGTTTCACGTCATCAAACAGCCCCTGTCTACCCAGATCATACGTATAAGCAAAAGTTATAACAGCGAAGTCATGATCTGGAATCTTGTCTGTGTCCTCGTCAATAGGTCCCTCTTTCCCCAACCATTCACACCATATTTTAGAGATCTCAGTGGAACCCTTGTCCTTTTGAAGCATCGTCGCAGCAATTTGTCCAACACCAATGAACCTAACTTTCAAATCAGTAATTCTATTCTTATGAAACACTCCTGGAATCACCTTATCACAGTTTCCACAATCACCATTCTTAGCATGGATTCCGATTGTCCTTTCCCCATGACTCATCTCAAGCCCATCACACACATAATTGTTGAGTTTGCAATTTCCAGTATATTCAATAATAGCTTGATTGTTATCATTGTTGTGACACTCCAACAACCTCTCATTTTTTAATTGTTTTTCTTTCTCATAGAAATTGTCAAAGAAAAGAACACCATCATTAAAAGGCCAAGGGTTTGGTCCCAAGAGAGTAACCTTAGCAGCAGATAACCTCTCAGTGTGAAGATTACCCCTCAAATGATCAAACAACACTGAATCACTGTAACACGGAGAAAGACACAAAGTGCAAAAGAATATGAGCCGCTTCCCATCTTCACGAAGCTCCACATACGTGTGTCCTTGTGCTCTGACATTGTTAAGTGTAGTTCTAGCCAATTGTTCCCTTAAGCTACTAGCAGCAGTTCTAGGAAGCGCTAATTCCCTCCTTCCCGCCATACAAATTTTCCCGCCAAAATGTTATATCTCAAATTGAAAGCCCCTTCTAGGAAGCAGCAGTTCTAGCAACAGTTCTAGGAAGCAGCAGTTCTAGCAACAGTTCTAGGAAGCACTTATTCAAACCACCCCAAACCCGATAAACAATTCTTCCAAGATCCAAAGGCAAAGATACTTTCAGGAATCAAGTAAACCCTAAACACTAATTTCATACGTACAACATTGAAACCCTAAATTTCAAACTNCCCTAGCAGCAGATAACCTCTCAGTGTGAAGATTACCCCTCAAATGATCAAACAACACTGAATCACTGTAACACGGAGAAAGACACAAAGTGCAAAAGAATATGAACCGCTTCCCATCTTCACGAAGCTCCACATACGTGTGTCCTTGTGCTCTGACATTGTTAAGTGTAGTTCTAGCCAATTGTTCCCTTAAGCTACTAGCAGCAGTTCTAGGAAGCGCTAATTCCCTCCTTCCCGCCATACAAATTTTCCCGCCAAAATGTTATATCTCAAATTGAAAGCCCCTTCTAGGAAGCAGCAGTTCTAGCAACAGTTCTAGGAAGCAGCAGTTCTAGCAACAGTTCTAGGAAGCACTTATTCAAACCACCCCAAACCCGATAAACAATTCTTCCAAGATCCAAAGGCAAAGATACTTTCAGGAATCAAGTAAACCCTAAACACTAATTTCATACGTACAACATTGAAACCCTAAATTTCAAACTCAGGATGATTTAAATTCCTTAAAACTGTAGCACAAGAACAGTATCAACAACCATAAGAAACCCTACTGAACTTAGATTTCACAAGAACTTCTCAACACCCCAAACATCAATTTCTGAACCACGAATACCACCAATTTTCCTATTTTACTACGAATTTCAAGAATTCTTAAAATTTCAGTTCCGAAAAGAGAAAAACCAAAAACTAAAAGCAATAGCAAACAAATACCAGACAAGAGTCTTAGAAAACCCTAACTTGACATATTCGTCGCGTACTCGGTATAGGTATCTTGACAAACCGCCGAGTCCGTCCAACACCAGACAGCGCGTCGCGAGCCATGGAGAGAAGAAGAGCGTGATGCGAGCACGAATCCTCCATTGTCATCTCCATTTGAGGAAGAGAATAGAAAATTCGACGCTGTTTGGGCAGTGAGAAAGCGAGGGAAAGTGGAAGAGAATCGAATGTAAAAAGGACAACAAAAAGAAAATGAAACGACTCTTAACCGATTTTGGCGAAGTTTTGCAAAAGGATTTTGATTTGATTAATTTACAAAGAATAGCATGATCCACATGTCTTAAATATAAATCAACTGATATGGTGTTCAAGGGAGTACAATAATAATTTGTTATGTACAATCAGGAGCCGTTGATGGTACAATTGAGGTATATGATTAACGTTATTTGTGTGAGGGGTAATTACTAGTTAGTAGTTAAACTGATCTTATGTTCAGAGAAGTATGATAGATGTAGCTAACGTTGATGAATGCAGGGAGAGTTGATGAGTTATGATGAACGGCTGAGGCCTGAGGATGGATGGATGTGGCGCGTTAAAACGATAGATAGCATTATGGTAATGAATAGAGATGGGATCGGAATTTTGAGAAATGAATATTCCACCAAATATAGATTGTTGTCTGATTATATTAAGAATAAAATTATCAAATTATAAATGATTTTTTTTGTTTTTATACAAACAAGTATTATGTTATTAAATAATTTAACAACAATAAGCTAGGGACACCGAAAATTTTACACCGAAAATGTGTACCGGCTACGTGTAACACGACTCTGTTTTGTTTAAAATTTTTTCTAATGAACGGCCGTCATTAAATTTGGACGGTCGTTCACTCACATGGACGCCCGTCCATATTATATGAGGGCGTCCATATCAAGGGACGGGCGTCCCATTTAAGGACGCCCGTCCATAAATAAAATATGAAAAAAAAAAAAAAACTTTGGGGACGGCCGTCCATAAATTTTGGACGGCCGTCCCTTATGTTTGGACGGGCGTCCATAGGAATGGACGCCCGTCCATACTTAAAAAAAAAAAAAAAAACTTGGACGGGCGTCCATTAGATGGGCGCCCGTCCATACTTTAAAAAAAAAAAAAATTCATCTTCTTCCTCATTGGCCTACTTGATATCCTATGTCAATCATATCAAAACCAATTCTAATTTTGTGGCTTTGTATAAACCCTGTATGGTCTCCTTAGTGACAGTTATGGTCAACTCGCCTTGCCCTATTTCTTTTAGGGCTGAAAGGATTAAAAAAAAAAAAAAAAAACAGGATTAAGAAGACAAAAAGAGAAAACACGAAATTTTTTTTTTTTTTTTTAAGTATGGCGGGCGCCTTCCATTCCAATGGACGCCCGTCCAAAATTTTTTTTTTTTTTTTTTTAAGTATGGACGGGCGTCCATTCCTAATGGACGCCCGTCCAAATATAATGGGACGGCCGTCCATAAATTTTGGACGGCCGTCCCCAAAGTTTTTTATTTTTATTTTCATATTTTATTTATGGACGGGCGTCCTTTAAATGGGGACGCCCGTCCCTTGTATATGGACGCCCGTCCATATAATATGGACGGACGTCCATGTGAGTGAACGACCGTCCAAATTGAATGAACGGCCGTTCACTAGAAAAAAATTATTAAACAAAACAGATGCGTGTTACACGTAGGCCGGTACACATTTTCGGTGTAAAATTTTCGGTGTCCCTAGCATTATTGATTTAACAAAGATCGTCATTCTTACTTTTTAGTATGATAAAAAAATTCGATTTGTTTATTATAAAAACTAATGAAAATGAAATGTCCCTATTCCAAATACAAATACAAGATGCATATTTGTTTCCAATTTTCAAAATCATATCCTAAATTAAGAAACTATTTAAACCCCCTAGATTTGTTAATAGACAAAAACACCTCCACTAAAAAAAATTATAAATTGATAAAAACACCTTTACCTACCTATAGTTACTAGATTCCAACAATCATCGTTAAAGGTAGTCGAAATCTGACCATGTGGGTGGGTAGAGGTGTTTTTATTATTTTACAAAAATTTTATATATTGGGATATTTAGTAAATTAGCAAATTTAGAGGTTTTATTTTTTTGTTAATTTTTAAATTTTATTTCGTAATAACCATTCAATTCTATCTATTGATAATATTTAAAAAATACTGCTCAAAATACTAAAACAACCACACAAAAAGTAGTTCAGTGAATCAAATCCTTAATCTTTAATTTAAAAATAAATAAATCTTTAAAAAGTTAGTTTAGAGGCTATAGAAACACACTTTAATATGCGATGATGTAATTGAATATGAATATATACAACTTAAATGAAAGGAGAGAGATATAATTACTTTTTTCGGATTTGGATCATCTCTTCATCGAATTTTGAAGTATACATGCAACAATTTTATCATTTAAATCTTAATTATATGTTCTTACGCTCTCCGTTTCTATCCAACTTTTTTTGGATCAATCCAAAATAAATGCGACTTCTTGAAGTTATTTTGTGTTAATTCAAGTTCAACTATATCTGTTGATAATTAAAATAATTAATCCAAACTGTTCCTTAGTTTTCAGAAAAATAAAAAATAAAAAATAAAAAAAAAGTTAATCCTGACCGTCCTTAATTTTCAGGAATGGTCGGCTATGCCTATGTGTAACTTTGAAACTGGCAAACACTCCATAATAAACTAGTCGAAAATTTAAGAAAACTGCTGTCATGACAATGAGGAAGGTTCGTCTTCTTCTTCAGCTTGTTACATACTGGGCTGCAGAGAATTTCATAATCATTGGTACATTTAAAATAATTTCATATTAAAGTCTAGCTGTTAACACAATCTTCATATTGATAAGGGACAAGCAAATTTATTGGCATCTCTACCGTTGGGCTAAAAAAATCAGTTCTCGGATGAAAAAGTTTATCAGCATCTCTACCCGTTTTGCTAAAAAATCAATTCTCTTCTTCATATCTACGCAACTACTGAAATCATGAAACTTGTATCTCAAATATTCAATAGTAAGCCAACATGAATAAATCAACAAGATCTCAAAATTCAACAAAGAGATATATATATATGAAGGAAAAAAAAAAAAAACCAACAACCTAAAACAAAATTAGAAAATAAACAAAAATCCTTTCCAGATTTAATCAACCGAACCCAAAATATATATATAAAAAAAAAAGACAAAAAACTGACTCAGATCTTTACATCATGAATAAAACCTAAAACAGCATAAGAATAGTGATGAACAAAAGTGAACGAAGGAGATGAACCACTCATTGAGCCTCTATTTTCTCATCTGCTTGACCTTGAGCCATCCTTTCTTGCATGAATCTCCCACAACCTTCACACCTTTCTTCAGAAAAACCTTAAGCACTTTGGCTCTCTCTTTCACCTGTTGCTCAAAACCTGCCATCCCTGATTGAAACAAGAACAAAGAAGGAGCGGCGCTGGGTTTCGTTTAAAACAAATCAAAGGATTCCAAGTATATTACAACTAGTTGTCTTATAAACGGAATAGGAGTGGGATCCAACGCATCAGGGGATACGTGGCAAATATCCAACGGCATAAGTGAACAAAATAATCGCGAGAATTCGAGATAATTAGGAGACGAGAGATGAGGTAGCATTTGTAAACAGGTGGACCAGTCTGTCATGTTTTTGGTGAAGTTAACTCGTGAACTATAAGCGCAGCTAATTGGGGCCTAGATGGGGACCACTTCGCCCCCGCATCAATTTAAGATAACGCTGAGAGAGTTTGGCAATTTTTGTACATCTAAATATTTGAAATTTCAAGATTTAACTATTTTAAATAAGACTTTTCATCAAAAAATCATGTTTTATTTTATTTCTTTAAAAAAATCTCCTAAAACAACCGTTTGTGACAGCCCCACCACTTATAAATTCACACCTTTATTAACAAATTAAGATGATAATGCCGTTAAATGCTTTAAACATGCTAATGAAATTCAATTTTAAAACCAAGAAAAACAGATGCCAGTCCAGTACATGAGCCAGCCAATGAGTAACGCAGCTCATTCCAGCTGGAATTATCTGCCAGAATGGAAGTCAATAAGATTATATCTATTAATATTATAAATTAAATTAGTATATAAAGGTATTTAATGACAACATAACCTTAACTGTCTGGAAGATAGATTACATTACAGGAGAAGTGGGTGTCAAAGCATGATTGCATTTGCAAGAGGTTGGTGTAACAGAGAGAATGGGCTGATGAGTAGGGGTGAAGACAGGGAACATAAGAAAGAAACGAATCAATTACTTTTAATGAAATTGAATTCAAATCAACTAATTAACACCCCTTTTGTGTTACTCCATTAAAACATATATTTAAAGTAAGTCAGGTTAAATATAATAATGAAAGGTGAATTCCAATCATCATATGACCAAACAATGAAATTATTATTATTATTATTATTATTTTTAAAGCTTTACAGACTAATTAAATTACTATATCTTAATTAAATCAAATGACTACTTCCATTTCCATCTCTACACCATGCATTACTGCCAATAATATAAACTGTTCCCTTAAAAATACTTCCTTCTATTCATATCGAATTAGGATGTATTGTAATTCTTTTTTTTTTCTTGTATAATTTCTAAAACTAAAGAATTAAATCCACCTTAAATACATATATAGGTAATCCTATTGAATCAAATTCAGGCTAATGTTAATTTTTTCCATTTGCATGCCATCAAAAAGTTTAAGAGATTGTATATATTTGGATTGTTTGGAAAGGGAGAGTGGAAGAAAGGAATAACTAGAATAAGTAAACACACGTACTTGAAGATCAAGACATAGCGAAGAGAAGATGTTAAGAACAAGGTGAATAGCCTTCTGGTAGTGAAAGTTTTAATTCTTTTACCAAGTGAATTAATCATAAGCATAAATGATTGCTATGTTGATTTTAAGAGTTCTTTGAACATAAATATAAAACAATAAAAATAAACTAAAGTAAAACAACACTAGAGATTTTTACATGGTTCGACAACATGCTTACATCCATGGGACTAAGTCTAGATGAAGCCAATCCATTATGGTAAACATCTATAGTTCAATTACAAAGCTAAAGTTAAGCATCAGTTGTAAGAACACTCCCTATTTTACAACGCTTCAAACTTCACCATTTGGTCGAACTTCGAACTACCACAGCAGCTACACGTTCACAAGACCACCTAGTCAGCCTTGAGCTCTTCTCAAGGATCAACACCGAAGATGTACTTTAACTTCAAAAGCTTGAAATCCCATCAAGCACCACTAATGGAAACCCACGTTCCAGCCATGAACAAATAAACAAAGTTTATCAAAGGTATTTGTAAGCCTATCTAAGGCATATGAAACCCGATTCAAAATAAAAGAAACCTCAAGAAATTTTCAGAGTAATATCAAATAAATAATCAGGCTTGAAAAGAATTGCATTGGATAAGATGAATATATATAAAACTTGGGCTGTAATGCAAGGGGACACATGGCAAGGAATAATCTTATTGAATTCACCTTTATAAAAGTTTATTCTAATATCAAGATGCCACATATCAAGGAGAATAAAACTTTCCAACACATTGAATATGAATTTGACAATTGTTATGGACCACACAAATATCTCAAAAGAGAATATAACAGCTAATGCATTCTAGAAGCACAATATGTGTTACCCAATAAAATTTGTCAGATGCATTGTGATCATTCTGACTCAGAGTGATTACTCGATATAACAGATAAACAACATAATAGAAGGCGGTCACTTTTAACACAAGGTCATCACACTAAAAATTTAAACAAGAATGATTGTGCAATATTCAAAATAAAGTGTTCATCCAATAACTAGTGTTACACTACTAAATCATAAGTGGACAAAATAACTTACAGGTAGTAGCTGCACTTTCTTGTTGCTGTGGCTTATGCTTCTCCTACTCAAACGCCTGTTGCTAAGAAAAGCGATGCGGAACGATTTACAGTTACATGCTCATCAGGATGGTGAGCAATCCCACTTTCGACTACTAGGACTTGCCCTCTCCTCCAGACATTTAGCATTCTTGTTCAGCATTTATTCAGCATTCAAGCCCCACCATAGATTTAGCATTCTTGTTCAGCATTTGTTCAACTTATACGTGTGTGTATGTGTATATATGTGGATATGATTCTTCTATTTCCAAATCAGATTTCTCTTTTTCTGCTTCTTAAAATCTATTATGTTTAGTATTTACTTTAATATCATCTTATTCTTATGCTTTAAACAATTAATATAAACAAGTTAATTTACACTATATATTATTTAGCTTCTTAACAAGTAAACTTAAAGACAATGACTTGATGAAAAAATTCAAGACAAAATTGTCATCAATAGTATCAAGGTGTTGTACAGGGAATGTATAACAATGGAAGAACGTAAGTTGCCAGACCAACAATAAGAGCATCCTAACACACACCCAATGATAAATAATTGTAGAAAATTGTGGACTGAAAAGTGAGCTGCACTGAAGATGGCTGAGCTTATGACAACTGCCTTTTGCCAGTTTAGTGTGGCGGCAAGAGACGTCAATAAAAACCCTCTATAAACAGCTTCTTCAGTTAAGGGAGCGATGATGCAATTAACAAGGACACTCGCAGTTTTCGATATGTTGCTGCTTAGAAGTATCTCCTTCATTATGGAATTGCTGGCAGCCTATAAACACCACATTGTGAAAAAATCAGATGGAGAAGTCCAGATATTTGAAAACATCTTGTGAAGCCAATCAACATATCTAATTTGAGTCATATGCACCAAAAAGTTGTTACAGTGCTGCAGGACTAAAGTAAAGCATTGGTGCACATAATTACAGTTATAGAACAGAAAATGAAGCTTCCTAGCACACTGGATGACTATGCTTTACTTCTCCAATTCTTCCCATGGATTTAGTAGAGCTACTAAAACTATCTTTTATTAAATTGAGGAACTTTCCCCACATACATATTAGAGCTGAACTTGTTCAAACTGCCATGGTAAAAATAATGACTGGGCCAAGATTTCTATGCAAAAAATAAGCAAATCCCTCAATTTCCTTTGAACACCCAAAAACATCCAAATAAATGGTTTTATTAAAAATCCCTGAACTTCTTATCTTTGATCGCTAATTGCGACAGACTTCAATAATATCTAAAGTCCATACTGAAAGATATTACTCAGTTTAGACCCCTACTATTAAACCTCATAGTCAACAGACAGTATTTACAAACTCTAAATTGAATTAGAGAACCATAAGTTAGTAGTTCTCGCTGCATAACACAGTCACAGGAAAGCTTCATCCCGCATTCCAGTTAGTGCATCAGCTCTTATTAAAAAAATATTGAAGGGAGCATAGGGAAAAAAGGTTCTTTATACAAACCTTTGCCCCAAATAATCTGTCAGCAATGAGCAACGTAGAGAAAACCAACAAAATAAGAAACCCAAGACCCAGTGCAGATGCCAGCAACCAGTTCCTCTCTTCTGATAACTTTTTAGCTTTGAACAAAGTTAAAAGGTCATGCTGCGGCTTAATGGTCCTGCTTAGTAGAAACAGAGCTCCACTGAGTTCTAAGATCTGGAAAACAAGCAAGGAAAGTGCCTGCACTGAAGATAAGGTCAAAGATCAATGTGCAGGTCCATGAATAGGATTGTCTATGCATATCAACATCTATAAGAGAAATGATGTTCAACTCTACTGCATTGAGGGTAAACATTAGGACTTCTAGCACAAGTTCACCACAACAGTTGGGTTAGTAGAAATCAAACAATCAATATATCCCCTTTTTTTTTTTTTTTTATAAAGAAGTAAATATTAAGATCATTAGGAGAAAATTCTCCGAAATCCATTTTTTCAGAAATGACATCCAACTAATGAATGTTAGTTCATTTATGCAGTCAGACTCAGGACATCAAAATTATAGAGAAGGAAAAAAATAATTAAAAAAACAGTCTCAGACTTGGTTTTGAGATCAAAATAATAGAGAAGGACAGAGATAATAATAAAAACAGAGAATATTATGGGCTGATACAAAAGACCACAAAGTATCAAATGATCCCACTAGCGAGATTGCAAGATTAAGACTCCACCTTGAAAAAGAGCCAAGTCTATGAAAACAATATCAACTGTTTCAAAGCAAGCTCATCTTAAATTCAGCATTTGAAGACTCTCAGTCTTAGCCTGACATCACAGTGAAAAAAAGCAATTGCATAATGGAATCTGGTTAAAAGACAGCAACCATCTTCTAAATGAGTGAAAGCTTCAGTAACATTATATCATCTTCCTATATTACAGTAAATATATGTCACCATAGATAGCAGAATAAGCAAAATGAGTCAAAGAATTACACCCACTTGAGTCTGTGGCTCAAGAACAGGTTGATTCAATGCATACGCAGCAACAGACATGCCTCCATAACCCAAAGGAATATGTAAATTAAACATATACATAGCCATAGTGCTCCATGAACTCTCACTCTCCCATGGGATATCTGATGCCAACACAGAAAAACCCTGTTCACCCATATCACAGTCAGTTGCACTTGCAAAAATTTATAAAAAACACCAACACACTGAAGAGAGAAATTAAACCACTAAATGGCTAACAAAAAATTCGGCACCATATCCTGCCCACCAACACTAAACTCTAAAGTAACCTATGTCTACAACTTAGAAAAAAATCTATTGAAAGTGAATAAAACAAATTAAACCCACCAACCATTTGATATTATCTCCAAAACTAAAGTATTGTACTTTAAATTTTTAAGTCTTAAAATATTTTAACTAGGGCAAGCTTTAGAAACGCAAAAATGATCGAAACTAATCAAACCCACCAACCAAGCATTTAACAAATAGATTACCGTTACACACTCGATACCCCCAAACTTGTAACATCTAGAACTTGGGTCAATATCATATACTAAAACCCTAACTATTGCTTTCCAAAAGACAATAAAACAATGTAAATATGGCTGTAGAAGTGAATATACCTTAATGGGTTGTTCTTTAATTTCATTTTTGATGCAACAGCACTTGAGAGAAGCTTTGGAGCTTAATTTGAAGTTGAATATGGAATAAGAGAGAGCAGTGTTTGGAGAAAATAAAAGTGGCGATAGTGATTTGTCAAAATCTCTGCAAAATTTGGCTGAGGGAGGATGTAATGGACAACCAAAGGTTGGCAAACGCAAGACAATCATTTTTCTTTAACCTCTCTCCCCTCTGTTTTCAGTTCGTTAGCTCAACTCTTAAAAGATACTTAAATATTAACGTACGCTTATCTAAAATCGAATTGTAACAAAATATTAATCTAAAAAAAAAAAAAAAAACCACCATTGAATAAAATGAAATGAACACAAGTACTAAGTACAAAGATATACCCACAATAAGATGGAGCCTAAACCTAATTACAAATTTGTGTTGTCTACATAGTTCGTGCTTTGATGGATTGGGCCTTTAGAATTAATTACCTATTTCAATTATCCATTCTGTAAACCAGTTGGTTTTTCACCACACTTTAAGACCGTAAGCAAGAAGTAGAACCTCAATTCAATGCAAGGTTTATTAATTTAATTTGAGTAAACGACATATTCCCACCCAAGGTTTGACAAAATCCCAAGTTGGTACCCCTGGTTACATTTATTACAGATTCTCACCCTTACAGTGACAGAAAAGTGTTTGATGTAACGATAAAGGGGTAAATTGGTCATTTTGCATGGACGATGCACGTTAGCAGATTGCCGCCTCTATCAGTCCTCCGACGTACCTTAGCAGATGGCGTCTTCGACGCTTTTTGCCCTTTTTTGGGCAATTCTTCCACCCAAAATCACCCTTGTCAACACCATTTGAACTCTCATCCTCTCCTTTACAAAACCTTACCCTTCACAACCCCTCATCACTCGCCGATCACTGGCCACGGCAGCAGCGAAATGCGACCAGTTTTAGCCAATTTTTGGCCGTTTTGACAGGCGACAACCCCAACCACCACCACCATTTGACTCCTCGCTTCCTCCCTTTAACCTTCCCAGCCATGACAACTCATTGTTTGCCGTCCACCACTTCACCAAAAAATGGTTGGTGAACACGAACTCTCGGCCCACGAACAGCGACTAAACGGTTGTTAGGGACATAAGGGTTTTATAGAGTTGGAGACGCTGATTGTAGAGTGGTGGTGTCCAATTGGATTTTCACCGTCGGAATTCGGTGAAGAACAGAGAAACCCTAAGCCTAACGGTGCCGACGATTGGAGGGGCCAATGAGTTGGGAACCAAAGGGTTTTTGGACGAAAAACTACGGGGAAGGTGATGGAGGTGACCAAGGGGTTCAACGTTGTTAGAAACAACCCAGATCAGGCAAAAATTGAGAGGGTGTGCAATGACCGAGGGTGTTATTGAGATAATTTGAAAATAAAACGGTAAGTTTTATAATTCTACTAATTTAGGGGTTAAAACATAATTTATTAATTTAGGGTTAAGGGCATTATGGTAATTGCACCCTCTATACCCTAAAAATTGCTAATGGTGTTATTTTAAGGGTGGGAATCTGGAATAAATATAACTTGGGGTACCAACTTGGAATTTTGTCAAACCTTGGGTGGGAATATGTCATTTACTCATTTAATTTTAATGTCATACTGTGTAGTAAGCCAACAGCAACGGGTGGATTTTGTACCTTTTGGCTAGCCATATATATTCGCATAATTAACCTCTCCATGTAATCTGTAGCAAAAGTATTGCTTAAATCCAAGCTGGAAATAATTCAAGAGAGACCCTAGACTCACTTTGCCTTGTGAAAAAGGGGCATTTTATTAAAAGGCCATATGAAGTTAAAATTTAATTAAAAGGCTATATAGTTTGTAAGTGTTAAGTAAATAGCCTTGTTTTTTATCAAGGTTAATTAAACATGATTAGGGGTTAATTAGGATTAATGAAGTATTGTGTAATCTTTTAAAAATTATAATATGTCCCCAAAGAGCCGAAATTCTTGCAAACAAACCCAAACACCTTCTTCTTCTTCCTCCCGCCACATTAACACATTCCTCCCCTGGTTGTTGTTTCTTGTAAGCTTCATCTACATCTTTTTCTTTTTGTACATCTTTTTCTTCCTCCGTCCTATACATCTTCTTCTTCCCGCCATTAACACTATCTTCTTCCTCCCCCATTAACATCTTCTCTGCCGCAGATCCTCCTCCTCCTCCTCCTGTTCTTGACATTTCGTCCAGGTATGTGTATCTCCCTTTTCCATTTTATATTTCGATTTACAAAGATTTAATGATGGATTGGGTTTGGGTTATGATTTTGATTTAGTTGTTTAGGTTGTTGGGTTGTGTTTGATGTAATGGAAGTTGAAAGGAGTGAAATTTGTTGAATATTTTCTTGCATTGTGGGTAGCTAGGGGTGGTAGCACCGATTGTAGGTGGAGATGACTGAAAATATGTTCTGGATCTGATGGATCGCTTAAGCGATCTGGTATGTCTAGTATAATGCAGCTGTTCGTAGATCGCTTAAGTGATTAGGTATATGGCAGAAGATTGTTTAAGCGATCTGTTATAAGTCTAGTGTATAGCAGCAGATCGCTTAAGCGATCAGGTAAATGGTATAAAATCTCTTAAGCGATCAGGCTTATTTATATCGGATCGCTTATTATATCGCTTAAGCGATCCAGTATATCGCTTAAGCGATCCAGTGAACGATATACCAGATTACTTAAGCGATACACTAGATCACTTAAGCAATATACTAGATTGCTCAAGTGACTCTGCAGATGCTTTTTAAAATCTTTCAACCCTTAATACATTAGTTAATAATATTTTTTTCCTTGCATTATAGGTACTTGGCTATTATTAGACATGGGACAAGTTGTTTTGAGTGTTGAATATTTTGGTGAGTGGGTGGAGAAAGAAAGTTGTTGGAAGTGGATTGAGAAGAGCAAAGAAGTTATACCAATTGTTGTGAGCACAGAGGTTAGTTTTGATGAGTTGATTGATGAAATAATTAGAAGAGGTGATTTGAGTTTCTCATGTAGTGATATAGTTGTGAAGTATGTTTTAAACAGAGTTCCTGAACATTATAAGGTACCTCCTGCTATATTAAAGTCGGATGAAGGTGTGAAGTTATATATGATTGATGCGGCCAATAATAGTTCGAGGCCGATTTTAAGGGTTTCTTTTGTAGATAAACCGTTGGAAGTTGGTTCAAAGGAAGGGAATAACGAGGACGTTGGTAGAGATTTGGTTGGTTTTAATTTGAACTACGAGGGCATTGATTTGTTAGTTGAAAAATCAAGAGTAGGCGGTGATTTGGGTGGTGAGGAAGACATTGTAGAAGAGATTGGTCATGTGTGGCAGAATGAAAATGTTGAGGAGGAGGACCCCATACATGTTCCTGCAGATGTAGAGATTCCTTTAAATACAGATTATGCAAAAGGTGTAGTTTGTGAAGAAGAGAGCACTATGGTCCTTTATGCAGGTTCAGAGGGGGCAATTGCAGGTAATAGTGAATCAGCTCATGTTTTTATGGATGGATCGGAGTTATGCATAGGGTATTTATTTGACAACAAAGAGAAAGTGGTGAGGAAGTTAAAACTTGTTGTCGTGAGAGGTAATTTTGAGTTCATCACCAAAAAGTCTAATTCATCGGTTGTGATAGTTGAATGTCGTGACCGAAAGTGCAAGTGGCGGGTTTATTGTAGAAGGTTGGCGGAGTCAAAAAATTTATTCTTAGCACATATACCCATGAGCACACGTGTGATTTGGGACATATTTCAGGTGAGCATCGACAAGTCTCCACTGATGTTATTGGACAATTGGTCAAAAGTCAATTCATTGAAGGGAAAAATCCATCTCCTAAAGACATTCAGAGACTTGTGCGCACAGAGTTGGGATGTGCTGTTAGTTATTGGAAATGCTGGAAAGGGAGACAACATGCGTAAGATTTTATGAGGGGCACGCTAGAGCACAAGTACGCAATATTAGAAGCGTACCGTTATGTGCTTGAGTTGACAAACCAAGGTAGCAAGACGGTTTTGAAGTGGGACAATAATATGATGTTTAAATATTTTTTTGTTGCTTGCGATTCTGCTATAAGGGATTTTGTAAACATGAGAAAGGTGTTGGCTGTTGATGGTTGCTTTTTGACTGGAAAGTATGGAGGTATATTGTTGGTGGCCACTGCACAGGACATCAAGCATCACACATATCCTAGTGCATGGTGCGTGGTTGACTATAAGAATGACAAGCCGTGGACTTGGTTTTTTCAGCTATTACGTACGATAGTGCTTAACAGTGACGAGTTGTGCATAATATCCGATAGGCACAATTCTATAAAGATGGGAATTGCGACTATTTACCCTCAAGCACATCACAGATTCTGTATAAACATAAAACAAAAGTTTAAGTGTGCTGGCCTTCTTCAGACATACTACATGGCAGCAAAAGCTTATCGAGTTGATGAGTTCGAGGA